TATATTTGTAAAAAATATGAGTAACAATATGAGAGGCAATAATAATTGTAGAAATACCCTAGAAAAAAAAGTAAAAACTAAAAGTTAACCGGTGTTTTGTAAAAGTACTAAAGCGCTTATAATGAAAATGTACAAAAAGAGTAGTAGGACCCTTGGGTAGAACTTGACTTACAGCCTGTGCTTTTGAATGTATAAATCTGGATAAGATATCTCCATCGTTATTCATAGACATGAAAGCTGGAAGAAATTTCCACATTCGAACTGTGACGTTTTTCTAACTGGGCTCTGTAAGTCAGTATACAAGTATGCTTGAAAAATATCTTATGTACATGGCAAAAAGTGCTACTACTTCAAGTAACGCTTTTGTACAATTGAATTCAACTGAGAAATGCATATATCACACAAATGTATACGTATGAGAATCTGTGGGTAGGAAATTCGTAATAACAGCCTAAAGACCATGAAAGAGCAGTCGATGGCCTCTTCGAGTGTTTTGGGGCTGGAGAAAAGGGTTTTTCTGGCAGTTGATCATCTGGGCTCAAAATCGCTGGTTAGTTAATTCGATCGCATTCGTGATCTCCACCGGATTCGTAGGTAGCGTCAAGCTGGATGCACACGGAAGTGTGCCAGTTGCTTGTCTGTCTTAGTCGAATGAGAAAAAGTGTATCTGCTCTGCAAAGAGGAGCATAAGAAATGCAGTTAAAAGTTTTTGGCTTACTAAAGCACCATCAGCTGTGCTATGAGTAAAGGCCCACACATATACACATGCTTTATTGCAAACGTACACGCACACTCGCACACACGCATACATTGAGAGAGAAGGAGGAAAGCTTCTGATTGCCCAGATAAGTTGGAGTGTCTGTGAAAATGTGATCACACGACTGTAATGACGAGGGTAAATCTGTTGGCGAATACTCTCTGTTGCCTTGGCAACGGAATATATTATTGAGCAGTTGGTTGATGGTTCTGTTGTAGATGTGCCGAAAAGAGTGTTGTGTCGCAGTGTCGCGAGTCCCCATTTGCAGTCGCCAGGAGGGGCATGATTGTGATGTTGGCTACCGAAGTGAGGAGTACCGATTGGCTCATCTGTCGACTTTCATACGAAGGCTGGCTCACCAACCGGATCTTGTCGGGTTGTAGTTTGGGGTAGAGGGTGGGAGACGATTTGATCGTGTCAGATCCCGCCAGCGAGGGCAACAGGCCGGCCGGCTGTCTGACCGATGGCGTGGAGGGAGTCTGCGTTTGGCATGGCTCGACGTCGCCGACTGGTTGATTGGCCGGGCTCATCGTGTCACCCGTCTCCAAGGGCGTCGACCTCGCCGTCGACAACGTCGACGCAACGCCAGCTTCTTTGTTTTTCGGTCGCCGGCCGGCTCGTCGCGGTCGACCGTGCGTCTTCTTGTGGCGAGCTCGCTCGTCCGACCTGGCGAATTGGCGCTCACAAAGGTCGCATTTGTACGGCTTCTCGCCGGTGTGTGTGCGTCTGTGCGTGGTGAGGTGGTCACTTCGAGTGAAAGCCTTGTCACAGAGGGTACAGGGAAAAGGACGCTGGTCGCTATGCGTCCTCTGATGCCGTTTGAGCTCGTCAACGCGGGCGAATCGCTTGCCACAACCCGCCGCCTCGCAGGCGTACTGTTTCGTTTTGGCCGGCCCGCCGGTACCGCAGCCGGGCGTCGTGTGGGCCATTTTGTGTACAGCCTCGGGAGCCAAGGTGACTTCTCGCAGGACGGACTGACGGCCGGTGGAGGCGGAGGAGGCGAGAGAAGAAGAGGACGAGGAGGAGGGCGACGGCGAAAAGGAGGGCGTCAGTGAGGAGTAGCTAGTCGAGTGTGATTCACACGAGGACGAGGAGGCCGAGGAGGCGGGCTCAGGCGAGTGATGGTAGACAAAGTTCTGCATGACAGAGGCTATGTGGGGCGGAGTGGACTCGCTGACGGTGGAACAGGGCGAACTGGTCGCCGACTCGGAGACGTGGCCGGAGAATGGGCCGTTGTGCACAAAGTCGGGACTCGTCTGTGCTCGAAAGGTGGTATTCACAGTCATTCGACCGAAACAGCCCGACGCCGAGTGGCTCAAGTGGGCCGACGGGCATTCGGAGCCCTCTCCTTTGATCGCCATCGGCCGATAGGGTGGCGGCGGTGGGGGTGGTCCTGCGTAGGAGATGAGCTCAGGGAACTGGTACACCTCCATGGCGCCAGAGGTCGACTCCTGCTTCACATGCAGTCGGCCGTCCGAGCTCGAAATGGGCTCAGACCGCAGACTTATCAAGTCGTTGCTGGAGCAACAGGCCGGAGTGGACAGTCTCTGTCTCTCGATCAGGTAGGCCTGTGAGACCGGAGTTGTGAGCCGACTCATCTGCATCGACTGAGCCGGCAACACGGCGTGAGTCAACTCCTCTTCTACTTTGTGCACATGTCGATAGACAGTTGCCACATTGTGAGGCTGCTGATGCTGGTAGCCGGGATGCTGAGGCTGATACTGATGCTGATGGTGGTGCTGCTGATCTTGATGCTGATGTTGATGTTGATGTTGATGTTGATGATGGTGATGGTGATGATGATGATGATGTGGATGTGGATGTGGATGTGGATGTTGATGCTGATGTTGGTGATAGAGCGAAAGTCCGTCCATACTAGGCAGCACTGTCGCCATTGGTGTAAGGGTCCGGTCTTCAAGAGCCTGGTTGTCATCAGCATAATTTAAGAAGAGCGCAGAGTATCGATGCTGTGGACGAGTTGGCGCGGTCATCTGCAAGAGGCAGGGCTCCAATTGGCCGCCAGACTGAGTCGGGCCTGAGGCAATTGAAGTGGAGAGGGGACAGGTCGAGGCGAAAGCAGAAGGAAAGGAGGACAACGGAGACGCGGAGGAGAATGAAGAGATGGAGGCGGCTAATCCAGAATCGCTGCTTCGTGGACCAGCGTCGGGCGGGAAAACTCCAAAGTCCTCTTGTTTAATGTCCCTGAGAACCGGAAGTTCACCATCTTCAGACTTGAAAACTGGAAAAGTCAAAGGAGAGCAGAGAAACGAACGTGAAAAAAATTTCCACAAATGTTTACCAAATAGTCTTCTACACGGTGAAGAGAAAGTATAGTATGGAAATGTAAGTTCCGATGGCTGGTAGAGCGAACGTGGCCGGTCTTGAGTACGCGAAAAATCGGATCAACACCGATTCCATCATTGGATAACTTGATGTCCTTTTAACTCGGCCTCGAGTAGTTACTATTTTAAGAAGTGCAAAGGTCGAAAATATCATTTTTGAACGATTAATCTGCGCCAAACATGGCTGGCCAGGCTTACCTTCATTGACGAAGAAGGCGTTGGACGAGATCGGCTCCAAAGGTGTGGGAGTGTCGAGGTCGTCGACCTGAGTGAAGGTGAAGTAGTCGTCGGTATCCGTTGTCGGCGTGTAGCCGGTCTTGAGGTCGTTAAACTCGCATCCGCTGAACACGTCACCGGCTGCAGACGTCAAATCCATATGTCCAATGGGACGTGGCACCTGATGGTCGATTCCACTGGAGAAGGGAAGACGGCCGTCAAGCCGGGCCAGCAGTAGCATCAGAAGTTCGGCTGTAGTGAGAGAATCTCTTTACATTCCGTGACCAAATAGCGATTCGCCGTGTAGGCTACTAAAAAAAGCCAGCCAATCAGGCAAGAGTAGCCACCTACGCAGCACTGTTAAATTTAGCCTTGGTACTATTTTAGCCATTGCCCGTCAGCCAATCAGTGAGGCCCTCTCCTCTGTCCCCTCTTTGTCCAACCAACATCCCCCTCGGCCTAATTGGCTCAGCTATCTACATGAAAGTCAGCCTCAACCAGTCAACGCACGGCCCTCATTGGCCGACCGCCCCCCGCCAAGTAGACGTCTCATGCAGGTGATTAATCTTTTGCCATCACATGCCATTCCCTAAATCTCCGCATTGATTATCCGGACTATGGTTTCCGCCAATGTCACTGCAAACAGCCAATACCATTCACAATGCCATTACCATTGCCAATACCATGTCAAATGCCAACGTTAACAAGAATGCCAATGTCAATACCAATATCAATAACAATGCTGATGGCAATGCCATCGCCAATACCAATACCAATACAAATGCAAATACCAATGGAAATACCAATGCAAATATCATTCAAAATGCCAATACCAAGTCCAATGCTAATGTTAACAACAATGCCAATGTCAATACGAAAATCAATACCAATGCTGATGGCAATGTCATCGCCAATACCAATACAAATGCAAATACCAATGCAAATACCAATGCAAATACTATTCACAATGCCAATACCATGTCTAATGCTAATGTTAACAACAATGCCAATGTCAATACCATAATCAATACCAATGCTGATAGCAAGGCCATCGCCAATACCAATACCAATACAAATGCAAATACCAATGCAAATACCAATGGAAATACTATTCACAATGGCAAAACCAAGTCCAATGTCAATGTTAACAAGAATGCCAATGTCAATAATAATATCAATACCAATACTGATGGCAATTCCATCGCCAATACCAATACCAATACAAATGCAAATACCAATGCAAATACCATTCAGAATGCCATTACCATTGCCATTACCAAGTCAAATACCAACGTTAACAAGAATGCCAATGTCAATACTAATATCGATACCAATGCTGATGGCAATGCCATCACCAATACCAATACCAATACCAATACAAATGC